CCCCAAAACCCCAAAACCCCAAAACCCCAAAACCCCGTATGATAATAAAATTATAGAATAATTATAGCAAACATTGTTATTCCAAACTGAACTCTATTATGTCTCCGGTACTGAACTTGACTCTACACTTAGGGCATTTTCTGTTTCTGTTTGCTATGTTTTCATCAACGCATTCGCGTCAGTAGGTATGGGTACACTTTAGCTTAGTATTTTTGTGATTATCTCAGGTTGGGCATTTTACCATATCTTTGTACCTTTTGTACTCGTACTTGATTAGATCTATCTCATCCATCTCTCCTATAGACCCAGGAGCGAGATCAGCATCCCCAGTGTCTTGTATGCTCCCAGTCTTCAGGTAGTTCACAGCTATTTTTGACATTCTGTTGGAAAGACTTGAGAAGGTTTTTTGAAATAATTTTTCGAATTCTTCAATTTGCTGCTTTTGTTCAAAATTTTTCTTCTTAAGATCACTCAGTTCAGCCTCCAACAGTTTTTTAGCTTCTTCTTGAATGTTCTCCCTTTCTTTGCAAGTTTGGTTGATATTATTTAGAGTGGATATTTCTTCAGATTTTTGCTCGAGTTTTTGGGAGAGAGCAGAAGTCTTCTCTTCCATGCTCTCAATCATCTTATCTTTGTGTCTAACTTCCTCCTGGTATTTGCTATTTTCAAGTGATTGTTTAAAATTTTGTTGTCTAGATTTCTCAACCAACTTGTTAGAGGCTTCAATTCTTGACTCAAGGAGTTTGTTCTTCTTCTCAAGATCCTGGTTCACGTTGAAGATACCCTCAAGTTCTACATAAGTTTCGGTAACTTGTGCCTGAGAACTAGCAAGCTCTTCAGTAAGATCCTTAATCTGCTTGCTCTGGGCTTCAATTATTTCCTGGTTTTGGCCTTCCTTATCTTTCATGGTAGTGTTCAAGTAATTATCATACTCAAGTCGCAGAGCTTGGGTCTTCTCAGAGAGAGACTTCTTTTCCTTCAGGGCTTCTTGTAGTTGATCCTTAACTTTCTTGCTTTCTTCCTCGAGTTTCTCAATACCTGTTTTGAGGTCGTGGTTATCTTTCTTGATTTCTTCGATATTCATGGATTTGAGTGAATACATTTCTTTCTCTAAGTTATTCTTCTCTATCTGAGCCACTTTCATTTGGATGGCATTTGTCTGCAGTTGGGAGTTTAGTTGAGCAAGGGAGGCTTCATAATTTTTCTTAAGTTGCTCCATATTTTTGGCATTTTCTTCTTCTTTCTGGGTGATGGTGTTGCCCAGCTTTTTGTTAATATCAAGGAGCTCTTCATAAGCCTGTAATAGTTGATGGCCATTTCTAAGAAGCCTATTGAATGCTCTTGATTGGATCACTTCTTGGTCTTGGATATACTCCTGCTTTTGTAAGTCTACAATAACTTCAAATAGAGCGTTGTTGATTTTTCGGGTAGCTTCAATTTGGATTTCAGCTTCGTTCATTGGAAGTCCCTTTCCATTATGCTTATTTTCTTCAAGGGTTGCCTCAAGTTTCTCCTTCTGTAGCTGGATTTCATCTATTTTGGTTTGTATTTCTTTAATGTTCTTGCCACAGAAGTGTCATTTTCAATCGTGCTTGAATTGACTAGTGTCAAATTCTCTATTTTCGAAGATAATATAAGGAAGATTTCTCCCTGCTCTCACTTCAAGGGTCTCTATTCTGTGACTGTCCGCAGTAATTTTAGCTTTCATTTCAGAAATTTTCTCTTTGAGATTATTCACTAGAGTTTCGTGCTCGGTTTGTTTGGTTTGAAGAGTCTGGGAGTACTCAGAAGCTCTCTGTAGCTCTGCACGGAGATCAGACTCAGCTGCACCGGTGCTTTTTGAGCATTCTTCATATACCTTTTCCAAGAGAGATGAAATTTTTATCCCAGCTTGCTTTATTACATTTTTAGAATTCTCTGACTGCTCAATAATTTTATCAAAGTCGGTGGAAATGGAGAGGGAATAGTTATCATAAATCTCAGAGGATCTTCTGAGATCATTCTCCAAGGAACCCCCAGCACCGTAGCAGTTATGAAGGGACATTAATTTATCATTAACTATGAAAAGTTGCTGGTAGAGCAAGGCAGAGGAAGATATAAGATGCGACTTGGCTCCCTCAAGTTTAGCATTACATTTCTTCATTTCCTCATTATCTTTCCTTTGCTTTTCTAAGCGGCTTGCCAAAACTTTGTTTTGGTATTGGAGTAGCTCAGTTCTAGCGAAAAGAGCTACCTCGGAAGCAGGCTCATCATCCTGCTTAAATCTTTTAGTGGCTCTAGGCGGGTCAGCCATATTATTTCAAAAATATTGGTTCAAAGGATTGGCTAAATTATGGGGTTTTGGGGTTTTGGGGTTTTGGGGTTTTGGGG